AAAATAGAATATAAGATGAAAGATGTAAGAAGAGACAAAGAAGGTCATTATATAGTACTAAAAAGACTTGCTCACCAAGAAGATAAAACACTTGTAAATACCTGTGCACCCAACACTGGAGCACCTGAATACATCAAAGAGAAACTGTTAGATCCCAAGGCAGAGACAGTTGTAGGTGATCTCAACACCCGATTGTCCCCTCTAGACAAATCATCTAGACAAAAAATAAACAAAACAGATACAATATCTAAATGATACCATACATGAAACAGACTTGACAGACATCTACAAAGAATTTCACCCAACTAACACAAAAGATACATTTTTCTCACCCCCACAAGGAACATTTTCCAAGAACAACCACATGATAGGGCATGAAACAAACCTTTACAAATTTAAAGGTATAGAAACTGTACCTAACATCTTTTCTGACCACGATGGAATCAAACTTGAAATTAACTACAGAAAGAGCCCTTGAAAATTCAAGAGCACATGGAAACTAAACAATCTACTTCTGAATGACTTCACAATTATAGGAAAAAAAAACTTTTAAGACTGAAATCAGAAGTTTCATAGAAAGCAATGATAAAGAACAAACAAATGTTTATAACCTACAGGACACAGCAAAAGCAGTCATAAGAGGGAAGATCATAGCAATTAGTGCCCACACACAAAAACAGAAAGGTGGCAAATAAACAACCTAACAACACAACTCAGAGAACTGGAAAAACAACAACAATAACAATAACAAATTCCAAGAGAAAAGAATAAATAGTTGAGCAGAAATAAATGAAATAGAGAATAAAAGAAATATGCAGAAAATAAATGAAACCAAAAGTTGATTCTTTGAGAAGATAAACAAAATTGACACACCATTAGCTAGTTAATCAAGAACAGATAAATGAACCAGATAACCCAAATCAGCAAGGAAACAGAAGTTATTAGAATGGATTTGACAGAAATCTAAAATATCATTGGTAAAAACTATGAGCAACTATATAACAACAAACAAGAAAATCTGGATGAGAAAGACAAATTTCTAGATATATAACTTACCGAGACAGAACTAGAAAGAAATAGAAAGTTTGAATGGACCCATAATAATCAATGAGATTAAATCAGTAATAGATAGCCTTTCAACAAAGAGCCCAGGTCCCAATAGCTTTATGATTAAATTCCACAAAGCTTTTAATGAAGAACTAATCCCAAATTTCTAAAAATTCAAAAGGAAGCAACACTCCTAAATGCCTTTTATGAAGCCGCCATCATCTTAATTCCAAAACCAGACAAGGATATGACAAAAAAAGAAAACTTCAGGCCCATATCTCTGATGAATATAGATACAAAAATTCTCAACAAGATACTAGCAAATCATATTCAACAATATATTTAAAAAATTATACATCATGACCAACTAAGATATATTCCACAGATGCAAGGATGGTTCAACATATGCAAAACAGTAATTGGTATATATCACATTAACAAAAGGAAAGGTTAAAACTATATGATCATATCAACTGATGCAGAAAAAGCATTCAATAAAATACAATATTCCTTCATGATTAAGACTCTCAGCAAAATAGTATTACGAGGGACATTCCTCAACCTAATAAAAAGTCATCTTTGAAAAATTCATAGTTAACATCATATTGAGTGGAGAAAAGCTGAAAACTTTTCCACTAACTGCTGGAACAAGACAAGGCTGCCCACTTTCTCCAACCCTTTTTAAAATATTACTGGAAGTTCTAGCCAAAGCAATGAAACAAGAGAACCAGATAAAAGGCATCCAAATAGGACAAGAAGAAGTGAAATGATCTCTATTTGCAGATGATATATTGCTATACATAGGAAATCTGAAAGAATACACAAAAAAACTCCTAGAAGTGATAAGTGAGTTTAGTAAAGTGGCAAGATACAAAAGCAACATACAAAAACCTACAGCATTTTATGCATCAACAATGGTTAAACTGAGACAGAATTGAAGAAAGAAATCCTATTTACAATAACCACAAAACCAGTAAGATATACAGGAAAAAACCTTACTAAAGACACCAAAGATCTCTACAAGGAAAACTACGAAACACTAGAAAAAGAAAAAATTATAAAAAAAAGTGGAGAAACATCCCATGTTCCTGGATTGGAAGAATTAATATAATCAAGATGTCAATCTTACCCAATCCTACCCAAATTAACCTCCAAATTCAATGCAATCCAATCAAACTACAAGAGCTATTCCTCACAGAAATAGGAAAAACAATCGCAATTTTTCTGGAATCATAAAAGGTCCCATATCACCAAAGCAATACTGTACAAGGGGAATAAAGTAGGAGGCATCTCACTTCCCAAACTCAAAACATACAACAAAGTTACAACATCATGGTATTGGCACAAAAACAGACAGGTAGATCAATGGAACCAAACTGGGAACCCCCAAATAAACTCCAAAACAGACAGATCTTTGACTAAGGGCACAAGATAATCCAGAGGAAAAAGGAAATCTCTTCAGCAAATGGTGCTGAAAGAATTGGATATCCACCTGCAGAAGAATGACATTAGATCCTTATCTCTTAACACTCACAAAATTAACTCAAAATGGATTGAGGATCTAAACATAAAACCTCAAACTATAACAATACTGGTGAAAAACATAGGAAAAACCCTCGGAGATCCTGAAGTATTTAAAGAGGACCTCCAATACACAGGAAATAGTCTCAAAAATAGACAAATGGGACTATATTAGGCTGAGAAGCTTCTGCACAGCAAAAGAAACAGTAAGTAGAGTGAGAAGATAACCCTTTGGGTGGAAGAATATATTTGCAAACTATGCCTCAGATAAGGGACTGATAACCAGAATATATGATGAACTCAAGGCGCTTACCCACAAAAAATAATAAATCCAATTAAAAGACAGGAAAAGGAGCCGAACAGACAATTCACCAAAGAAGACATAATAGACCCAAAGCATATGAAAATATGTTCAGCAGTACTTATCATAAGGGAAATGCAAATGAAAACCACAATGAGATACCACTTAACCCCAGTCAGATCGGCTAAAATTAACTAAGTAATGATAAGTGCTGGTGAGGCTGTGGTGATAGGGAACTCTCCTACACTGTTGGTGGGAAGGTAAATTAGTATAACTGCTTTGGAGAATGATATGTGGATTCTCAGAGACATACAAATAGAACTACCATACGACCCAGTAATTCCACTATTAGGTATTTACCCGAAGTACAGAAAAAAACCCATTCGGAAAATCCACTTGTACATCCATATTTATTGGAGCATTATTTGCAATTGCTAGGATATGGAATCAACCCAAATGTCCAAAAATAGATGACTGGATTGACAAAATGTGGCATATCTATTCTATGGAATACTACTCAGCCATAAGAAACAATGAGACCCTGACATTTGACACAAAGTGGATGAATATGGAAGACTTAATGCTTAATGAAGCAAGTCAGACTATGAAAGATAGACTTTGTATGTCCCCACTCAATGTATACCAATTGTGCTCTATGGCAGAAACTGAATGTTTGCAAGGTATAGTAGCAGGGAGGGCAACTGTAGATACTACAGATAGTAAAGATAGAGGTAATACAGGGGTGGGGACAGGGCAAGGAAAAAAAAGTACATTTATCTGACCAAAAAATGAAAAGCTATTTGTTGATAATAATATATGCAGTAATGTCTTTGTCTTGACTGATATGCATGGTATTCATACTGGAAAAAGCAATACTGTACACTACATAGACATGTGATTAAATGTCAAATTAAAATTAAAAATTAAAAAAGGGGGGGGGACCAAATAGTCTAGGCAGGGCAAATATCACGTTAAGAGCAGTGTCCTTTAGAAAGCAAGAGAGTAGAGGAATGATCAGCCATGGTAAGTAGGAGAGATGCTGCTTCTGGGAAAATGCTAGTCTGCTCAGAATTGTGCTCATCTCTTGCAAGTTTGTGTTCAAGCTATATTGGTAGCTTGAAACTGTAGAAATATTTACACAATGGGAAATGGCAAATGCTATAATTCTAGGCACTTTTTAGTGAGCTGGTTCTGCTGCTTGCAAATAATTCTTCCTCAAAAATTGGTGGATAACTGGAAAAAGAAGCTGACCATCTTCCAACACCCATTGAGGAAACAAGAAAAATGAAGCCCCTAATAAGCTGCTGCCTCTTTTCTGCGAATCAATAAGGTCAGAACAATTGCCTGAGAATAAACCGGCATGGGTCTGAAATAACTTCTGCAGCTGGAGACTGAACCTAGCCTTGCATGAGAAAATAAATGAGGTAACTGCCATGCAAATGTGAGGAGAGGCAAGCTCAAGCAGACCACACTCACCAAAGCTGCATACATTTCTTTCTCTAATTCACATTTGTTTGGAAGCATGGGAAAAGTAAACAGCCTCCTCAGACAGCAGGATTTTGAAGTTTTGTTTTCTGGCCTTTGAAGAAAAAGGTACAAAAAAACCCAAGAGATTTTAAGGCCATGGAAAAGGCCCACTCTGGGTCAAGGATAGTGAAACGGTACAGTGAAGCCAAGAGAAATCTAATAGTTTAGGTAAAATATTGAATCATGTGGCATTAAGTTCTACTGAAAATGCATGATGATCACTCATAACTTAGCCTTTGATGTTACAATTTTCTGTGTTAAAATAATTTTTTCCTTTCCTAGACAAAACAACTTTATAGAGTGTTTCTCTAGATGCTATCTCCAAGTGCTCCTGGGCTGCCTAGGATGAACTCTGTGGATTTTCCTTTGGGCTAACAGTTGCTCAGCTGCAGGCACTTTCTTGTTCCTTTTGGCTAAGCAGAGACTTTAAAAGGTCTGTAGTTTTGGAACAAGATGTAATTCTTTCACACTTTAGCCAATGACATGTAAGGACCTAGATTTGACTTCACAGGAGGGTGATGCATAAAAAAAAAAAAAAAAAAAAAAAAAAAGACCAAGTGCTCACAAGGTTAAATTTCAGGAAAGCCCTCTTGGATGCAAGATAAAGGCGGGGTATAAAACGAAAACAAAAGTAGCCTGGAGATCATTTGATTTTACCCTCTACACTCAAGACTGCTTCTCTCTGCGGACTAAAACAGGTTGGTTCTGTATTTCTTTTCTCATTCTGACTTGGATAGGATTTTTTTTTTTTTAACTCAAAGACTGTATTTGTCTATACAGAGGGAGTCTTGATGCATAAAAATGTAAATGTTTACATGTGCAAAAAAATGTTATTTGAAAATAGCTGTATGCTTTATCCTCAATGAAATCTGAATCTGAACGTAGGAAGAAAAATATCATTTTAAATGCCATTACTTGTTTGGAGTAATCTATTAATGAGAATATAAGTGTTGTTATACCATTTTTTCTTTCCTTTACAAATACTAACTTTTTTTCCTCATAATAATTAAAAAGATATTTAAATGTGTTTCTATGTATCTGCCAGAAGGATCATCTCTGCAGATTTCCATTTCTCCTCTTATTTACTCAATTTTTAGTAAGAATAATTCTTATTTAAAAATACCCTTCCTTAATATTTTATTTCTTATCATCAGGCTCAAAATTTGTGATTAGAGAGAAGGAAAGAACAAAGTTCATATTGTGTTAATAATTAATTTATAAGAATATGAATTTTAGTCTTCCAGATTAGAACTGTTCAAATAATCTTAATGCCACACACAGTCTTTTTCAATTTGTTAGCACCTCGTGTTTTTTCATATAAGGAAAGCAGTTCTATGTGGGATCTTTCCTCAGGAAGCCTTCTTTACTTTGCCATACTCATTCCAAATGAGTTAGCAAGAATAAGAATGTCCTTCTGAAATGTCCCAGAAGTTGGCACACTATTTTGAGGGGAAAAGAAAAGAAAAGAAAAGAAACATGTGCAAGCCCAGTCAGTGGCATGGTGGTTAAGATGGTTGGATCACACATTGTCCACTGCATGGTGTGAGTCCTGGAGCCAGCAACTTGAAAAACAAACTGGGTATGTGTGTGTGTGCCCAAAAGAGAATGAAGAAACATTCCTGGGGGTGGGGTGTTTTCACACCTTCCTTCTTGCTCTGTGCACATACCCCATAACAAAACTTTGAAAAAAAAAAAAAAGAGTATTTCATTATTGATTCTATAAGAATGTTTCCAATTGTTTTTTAAATTTATTTACCTTCATTCACTGCACATCATTAAAGCATACAAAATGAGATTTTCCATCCAGGAAACACTGCACATTGGCTCGATTGAGCACATCGATGTACGTGTTATCATCAACAAATAATTGTCCATTTCTTGTTTCCTGTATATTTTGCTTTTTTGCCATCCTTGATTCCCTCTCTCTCACCCTCTGCTATCTCCCACCCTCCTCCCACACTGTCTCTGGTATCCATGGTTGCTTTCTATGCCTTTTATTTCCAATTCTTTAAAAGGCAAAAGTAACCAAAGAAGGGTGAAAAGGTTATAGGACAAGCAAAACAAAACTTTACACTATCACAAAAATATTAAAAATAATTGTTATAAGCATCTTAAAACTTAGGAATTCTATGCAAGCTTATCGTAATATTAATGAATGCTCACAGTGAATATAGTACAATAACTTAATGTTGGGGCAGGAGATTCATCTAGAGTAAGAACCTTGTTTCTGCTGTCAAACCTTCCATTGGACAAATATTTACTGAGCAGTTAAGTGCTCACTGGGCATACTAGTAAGACTATAATTACAAACACAAATCAAACAAGTCACCCTTTGTCAGAACTCAGAGCCTAGGGACAGGGTAGTCTGAGAAACACATGTTTTCCACAGGATGGGGCCAGTTCTAAGAGGTATGTAGAGATTGCTACTAGGTCAGGAAAGTCTTCAGGGACAGCAACATCGAGAAGAGTAGGAACTGGCCCTTCAAGGAGGAGACAGGAAATATTAATTAGTATGTCAGATAAAGGGACAGAACAAGCAGCAATGCAGATGGTGCATGCCAGCTTACTATAGACAGATCGGTTCTAGTACTGTAGCAACATGGGCACAGAGCAAGGAGAGGTGATAGGAGCCAGGTGGCACTACCTGATAGAGGGAGCCCGTGGAGTCATAGTACGAGCCCAGACTTGCCTTCCAGGTGAAGCACTGTGTCTTCCAGCTGAGGAGCTAAGCAAGGGAGGGACAGATAGGCAATTCAAGACAGAACACTGGTGGCAGTAAGAAAAATGTTTTGGACACAGAGGTGGTGACAAGGAATAATGACAGTAGGACACCAGTTAGGGAGTTACTGCAATTGGCCAGGAGAATAACAGGATGGTCCATTTGTGCAGAGTTGTCGCAGAGCAAAGTTTACGAAGGGAAGACAGATGTCAAGACACTGGGGCTTATAGTTTGGATGACTAGGGGATGATGGTGCCTCCAGGTAACACTATACAGTAAGCAAGCCACTGACGCATTTTAAAGGGATCCTAGGGAAAAGCGTTTGATTTTTATAAAAGTGAACTAGTAAAATTTAGTATGAATGCTAAGATAATTGATCTAACTTACAAAAATTAAACCTATAAACAAACATAAAAATCAAAAAAAAGTTTATTTTATATAAATAAAATGATTTATTTCTCTATTTTAGTTTTCTATTTTATTTATTGTAGATATTCTCGTAACACTCACAGAATTATGTATATACAGATTACAACACATTTTATTCTTTTTAGTGGAAATCTGACTACATTTTCATGTTTTAAAAACTATTTGGGGGGGCAGCAGGTGGTGTAGTGGTTAAGACTCTGGACTCCCACATGGCCAATCACATGAGTTCTAGACCTGCTGGCTTGAAAATTACACTGGGTATTGTGTCTGTGAGTGCCCAAAATTCCAGGAGGAGAATGGAGAAGGGACTGTGGCATGATCATCCACCCTGGGGAGCGGGGGGGTGATTTCTCACTTTCCCTCTCACTGTCTCTGTCTCCTTCCTCTCTGGCAAGTGCACGCACCCTATGGGAAAAACCTTTCAAACAAACACACCAACCAAAAAAAAGCAAACTATTTTGGGGGGGCCTCATAACCTAGTGGTTATAAAAGTCATTTCAAATACCAGTTCTTGAAGCTTGAAAACCACACCGAGTGTGAGTGCATGCACGTGTGCCCCAAATCCTGAGAGGACAGAGAGATGAGGGAGAAGGGATTGGAGCATGACCATGTCCTACTGGGGGTTCTTTTTTCTCTCTCCCTCTCTATCTCTCTCAGGTGAACACATGTGCTCTCTGGCGATTAAAAACAAGTAAATAAATCTCTTAAAAAACTATTTTTTTACATAAAAGCTTTTATTTAGGATTTAATGATTCAGAAAATCCTCCATGACAGTATTTATCATCCCTGTGTAAATCTCAGCTCTTGTGCACAGACTTGTAAAAAACAAGACAAGCAACTATTCTTGGGGATATAGTCCAATGTGACTCCCATTAGAATGTTTCAAAGAGAGACAGGTTCAGGCTCGCATACATGACAGTGACAATCTATTCTCAGGAAAAGAATGAGAAAAATTTCTAGATAAGAAATGTTTCCTCTTAAATGTTATTTAAGTGAGTATGCTCTTTTCTTTTGACCATCTAGATCAGAGCAATGGCATTGGAACAGAACCAGACAACAGATTACTATTACGAGGAAAATGAAATGAATGGCACTCATGACTACAGTCAGTACGAAGCGATCTGTATAAAAGAAGAGGTCAGAAAATTCGCAAAAGTATTCCTCCCTGCCTTCTTTGCAATTGCTTTCATCACTGGACTTGCAGGCAACTCCATAGTAGTGGCGGTTTATGCCTATTATAAGAAACAAAGAACCAAAACAGATGTGTACATCCTGCATTTGGCAGTGGCGGATTTACTCCTTCTGTTCACTCTGCCTTTTTGGGCCGTAAATGCAGTTCATGGGTGGGTGTTAGGAAAGATGATGTGTAAAGTAACATCAGCCTTGTACACAGTAAACTTTGTCTCTGGAATGCAGTTTCTGGCTTGTATCAGCATTGACAGATACACAGCAGTAACGAAAGCCCCTCAGCAGCCAGCAGTGGGAAAACCATGCTGGGTCATCTGCTTCTGTGTCTGGACAGCTGCCATCTTGCTCAGTATACCCCAGCTGGTTTTTTATACAGTAAATGACAACACCAAGTGCACACCCGTTTTCCCCCATAACTTAGGAACGTCAATGAAAGCCTCAATTCAAATGCTAGAGATCTGCATTGGATTCGTGGTACCCTTTCTTATCATGGGGGTGTGTTACTTTATCACAGCGAGAACACTCATCAAGATGCCAAACATTAAGAAATCTCGACCCCTTAAAGTCCTGCTCACAGTGGTTATCGTTTTCATTGTCACTCAGCTGCCTTACAACATTGTCAAGTTCTGTCAAGCCATCGACATCATCTACTCCCTGATCACCGACTGTGACATGAGCAAACGCATGGATGTTGCCATCCAGGTCACAGAGAGCATCGCGCTCTTTCACAGCTGCCTCAACCCAGTCCTGTATGTTTTTATGGGGGCCTCTTTCAAAAACTATATTATGAAAGTGGCCAAGAAATATGGGTCCTGGAGAAGACAGAGACAAGATGTGGAGGACATTCCTTTTGATTCTGAGGGTCCTACAGAACCAACCAGTACTTTTACCATTTAAATGTAAAACTGTTGCCCTTTGCTTGGATACACAAGAATGATACTTCTTCTTTTTTTTTTTTTTTTTTGAGATTGTTGAATTTTTTTTTTCTCCACATGAATGATACTTCTTGCACAGATAATACATCTGCATTATTTTGAAACTCAGATCTCAAATCTCAAACACTATGGTTGTAACTTATAACAAAGGGGTTGGGGACAGGGGACAGAAGCCAACTAAAGGAAGCAAGATAATAAATGTACAAAACATAAAAATTAAAATGAACAATATAGGAAAACAGTAGTAATAGTCCTAAATAAAAACACTACTATAAAGAAGATCCTTATGGTGATGAAATAGTTTTATATCTTGATAGTAGTAGTGGTTACACAAATCTATACATGAGATAAAATGACACAGAACTATAAACACACGTTGTACCCATTTCAACTTCCTAGTTTTGATATTATACCATAATTATATAAGATGGAACAATCAGAGGAATTTAGGTGAAGAGAACCCAGGATCACTCTGTAGTATCTTTGTACCTTCCTGTGAATTTATAATAATTTCAAAATAAAAGAAGTTAAAAAAAACTATGTTCTAAGTTAGCTCATCTAAAACAGATTAATAAAGAGGCTTATGTTGAGACATTTATAATTATTTTTAATTACTTAAGTTTTAATATAAAATAATTTCCCTTCATAATTTTAGTACTTGAATAATGAGGTAGTAAAACTTCATCTTTCGCTTTTGTCTCTTAATTTATAAGTAATTTCATAAAATCACAGAAAGAATAACAACTAACAACCTAAAAGAGATACACAAGCATTTCTGGCCCTTTTAGTACATTACTAGTAAATTCTAAAACAGGTTATTTATTTCTACTGTCTCAGGTGTCTTTACTGATTACTGGTTATCCTGATAAATGTTGGTTGCTCATGTAAACTGCAGATGCAATCCTCAGATTACCATATTTAACTAGGTTCTTAATTTTTATAGCTTCCTAAAGCACATTCATTTATGTGAGTCTATTATTGAGACTGAAAAAAAATTATTCCATGAATAAAGTGTTTTATTTTTCATTTAAAAACATATTTTTAAGTAATGAAAATATGTTCACAAATTACTTTTAGTAACATATAGCTTATCTTTTAAAAAGCAATTATATATAAATTATTAAAAAACATAAAATACGTCCCTGTTAAACTTTGATAGATATTATATTGGTCAAAAATTGCACACACTAACAAATTTTATCTTTCAAACTATAAGGAAAAGAAAGACATTTTCTCCTCATGAACATAACTTAATCAAGACATGTTATTGGGTCATTGGAAAAGTCGTGACATATTTTTTATGTAAAAATGCATCATGTCTTTTCCGATGACCCAATATTCTAAAATTACTTTTTCTTTGAACTACTATTTCTAATTTAAAAATGATTTCAAAGGGAGAAATTTTCATTTATGCATTATAGCATTAGTCAAGCATTATATCTAGCACAAAGGATCAATCTGTTAATTGAAAAAAATAATGCTGAGCACTCACCACTGGTCCACCATTTCTTGCCATTAACCACATAGCTATCCCCATCTTGATGGATGCTACATTCAATATTTGTGGCATCACTTGAAGCTACATCAGGCTCTATAAATAAACAAAGTTTGAACTTACAGGCAGGCAAAAGTCATGTTTGCAAAAGAGCTTAGATGAGAGAATGTAAACTCTTTAAGGACAGAGTTATCCTTGTCTTTTTCACTTTTCTATCCAGCTCCCATTGTACCCTGGTTCTCTCATAAAACACACATAGTAGGTATTCAATAAATGCACACTGGAAGAGTGAATCTGACATTGCATAATCTTCTTCATTGATATATGACCAGATACAATTCAGTCCATTTTTCAAACATCAAAGGTAGATAAAAAATATTACTTTCTACTTCCCACAATGGTAATCCATACTAACATTGGGTTGTCTGAAAAGCCATGATGTATTTTTGCATAGAAACACACATTATGACGTTCCCGACAACCTAATACAATCTGTACTAAATCTGAAAGCCAGATTTCCCCACCGTACTTGCATAGTTTACTTTCTTAAACAATTTATTTTTTTAAATTTCAACAGAATATGCATGTTTGCTGGAGAGAGAAAGAGAAAGAGAGAGAGAGAGAGAAATTGAGAAAGCATCCCCAGCTGGGATAGCCACACTGTAATCCCTTCTTTTTCATTCTCCTCTCTGGATTTTGGGCATGCATGCACACATGCCTGGCATGCTTCTAAAGCCACTGAGTCCAGGACTCAAACAGCACTGTTGGCCATGTGGGATCTAGCCACCTCAACCTCCACGCCACTGCTAGCCCCTATCTTGACAATTTCTAACTGTACTTTGCGAATTCCATCAGAAATGTTTTCACCACTTTATATGCTTTGCATTCTTTTTATTTATTTTTTTGTTTTTGACAGGTTTTTGTCATAGGGCGCATGCACATGCCAGACAGAGACACAGAGACAGAAAATGAGAATCAACCCCCACACCGCAATCCCTTCTCCATTATTCTCTCGAGATCTTGGTCACACATGCACACACACGGTATGAGTTTTAAGCCAGTGGGTCTGGGACTCGAACCGCAGTCGACTACATGAGAGTCCAGCGACATAGCTAACTGCTGGTCCCTATACTTTTCATTCTTTAAAGCATGTTTAGTACTTAAGGTCTTCAGGACATGTTTCCATGAGACACCATTAAAACAACTGCTTTCCAGGACCAGCAGTTAGTTGGCATAATGGCTATGTTGCTGGACTCTCATGTAGTCGACTGTGGTTCGAGCCCCACACCCTGTGGCTTAATCTCTCGTCAGGCACGTGTGCATATGTGCCCAAGATCCTAAGAGGAGAGTGGAGGAGAAGGGATTGTGGTATGGCCATCCTTCCTGGGGGGTAATTTCTCGCTTTCTGTCTTTCTCTTTCTGGCAAGCACACACACCCTCTAGCAAAAACCTCTCAAAAAAGAGACAAAAAAGGAAAAAAAAAAAAACCTGCTTTCCTACACAACATTCTAGAACTGACTAGCCCTCAGTCATAGTTATCTACATTTATTAATATGCAGCTCTTTTAAATCAGTCCTTCAGATATTTCATGTGTTCAATTTCTAAAACTTGAGACTCTGTTTTTTGAGAAAGGGGGTTATGAACTCTACTTATTTTGTAACTCTCAATTAATGCTTGGTACACAAAACATCATGTTGTAGGTGTTCAACAAATGTCTATTACTGATTTCAATGAAGATGAGTTTTGCTATTATAACTGTATACAATGTTACAGGGGAAAAATAAAAAAACACTTTCCATAATCAAAAGTACTTGGAAATTATGGTGAGGGAGGTCTTGAAGGGCAGCAACTGTGCACTGTGCACAGGGAGCCCAACACCACAGGACTGACTATGGTCTAGGTCCTAGCCCTGAAAGCTTGAGAACACACCAGGCATGTGGGCATGCATGCCCCCAAATCCGATGGGCTGGAGAAGTAGAAGAAAAAGGGTTGTGGCATGACCTTGTTCCACCGGGGAGTGCTTTCTCTCTTTGGCAGAGCACACATACCCTTTATGGCCAAATGAAATCCAGTTTAATTCTAAACTAAATCATGAAACAATGATTTTTGTCTTTTGAAGAGTTCTTAATATTTTTCCTACATACAAATGGTGTCAAATTGATTTTTTTAAGGTTTTTGTCATAGGGTGCATGTGTTCTCTGGAGAGGAGAAAGATGGTGAGAGGGAAAGTTAAGAAATCACCCTCCCTCCCCCCAACCCCACGCCCTGGTCAGGGGATGGCCATGCCATAATCCCTCCTCTTCCATTCTCCTCCTGGAAATTTTGGCACACATGCACATGCACTCAACATGATTTTCAAGCTGCCAGGTCTGGGACTCAACTTACAGTCAACCAGGTGGGACTTCACCATCTTAACCAGCATGTCACCTGCAGGCCCCTCAAACCCATTTTTTTAAAACACTTTATTGGCTTATTTTCCCATATGATTATCATTTGAGCAATATGTTCAGCATGGGTGAAAGTTATATTTTTCTAGGTTTATGGAAAAGTTGATTATTTTATAAGTTCTGATATAAAATTATCACAAAGATGACTATTTCATACACAGGGCAGGAAAAGATCTTCAGTATCACAGATGGCAATTTTAGAGATGCAAATCAAAACCTGTGAAACTAGGTTTGCTCTGCTGCTAATGCTAGAGCAGACTCAAAAAGCATCACCTGGGGGAACCAGCAGGTCTCATAACAGTTATGTGGTAGACTCCCACATGGCTGATCGTGGCATGAGAACTGGACCCAGTGGCTTGAAAATCAAACTGGGGATATGTACATGCATGTCCTAGATCCCAGCAGGAAAATGGAGATAGGATTGCAGCGTGGCCATCCCCCCGGGGGGCGGGGGGGTTGAATTTCTCACTTTCCCTCTCATTGTCTCTGTGTCTCTCTCTCTGGCAAGTGCATGCACACTAAGGCAAAAACGTCTTAAATAAGTAAATACATAAGAAGAAAAGATAATCTGGTGTCCTCCTCCCAGAGGGAAAAGAATTTTATTCAGCACACTTAAAAATGTCGAACTTTAAAAGGAGGCTCTAGATGAACATATTCCCATTTCTGGCTACGGCCAAATCGAAATGCAACGCGGAGTCACACTTCGAGATCCTTCGGCTCATCCACTGTAACTTGGCCTACTATGCCAAGGGAGTCGGGGTCGTGCCTTTACCTGTCATACAGAAGGCAGAGGTGATGTGCCCTTGAAGAAGAGGCTCCAGCCACTGCCGCTTCTGTTCCTCATTTCCATAGAGGTGCAGCACTTCCATGTTCCCGGTGTCTATACATGAGAAAAAGCCATTGTTTGCGTTTAAAATTTTACCAATATGAAGTCCAGAATTTTATGTAGATCATACAGACATCTAGCTTTTTTTAAAAAAAGGTTCTTATATCTCACTTATTTTTACCATGCCAACTGCTGGCCTTGCCATACATTTTTCTAAAGCAAACCTTTGCTAACAAAACTTTTTTGGGAACTTCTTGTAAACATATTCTACTGTGATGGCATGTCATAAATAGTTACACATGCATGGCATTCCATGCCTATCTATTCAACTTGTTCTGAATCACAGGCTTATGTCCAACTCATCACAATGAAGCATGGCTCTAATGTCTAATTCAATTAGGACTGCAGAAAACAATTTACTGGGCTCAACCCTTCCTGCTGTATTGCACACATGTGCTGCTAGGCATAATTGCAATATTCCCAGAAAACAATTAACATCGCATGTCTACTGAGTCTCCAGCTCTAATGTCTGTTTGCTGTTCCTCACACACTCTGGGCTTTCTAACTTCCCTGAGCTTGGGCCAGGGCTTCTCTCAAGACAAATTTTCTACCCATTAGTCATAAGTAAATTCCTACTTATGAGTCCCCTCCTCTGTGAAGAATTTCTGCCAAAAATATCTTTCCTCTGAACTCATATGGTAATTACTGTCTCTCAACCTCTAACACTGGTCTTAGTTTGTGCGCCTCATACCACCTGGAAATGTACTGGGCCATCTCTCTAGGATGCTAAGGACAGGATTCCTGACCTGGATAGAAAACAGTTTTAGACGTCCAAGATACTCTCCAGCCCTCAGAAGGTATTATTTCAGTGCATGCTACATTGTAGTATCACCCTCATCCCCAAAAGAATGTGTCGTGTCTGCCATTGAGCAAAATGCTCCAGATACGTCTTTCTCTCTCTGTGTTTTGTGAGATGGCATATATACTAACTGGAGGGAGATGGAGAAAGAGAGAAAGAAAGTGAGAAAGACCCCTCACGGGAATAGCCACACTGCGATCCCTTTTCTTCCATTTCTCTCTCATTTTGTAATTTGGGGCATGCATGCATATGGGCCTGGCATTACTTCTTGAACTGCTGGGTCAGGACTTGAACTGTGCAATAGGCCATGTGAGATCTAGCTGTCTTCTCTTACATTCTTCGAGCCAGCCCTAGATACCTTTCTTTGATTTAATTCCTATCACATTTCTAAAAATACTGTTTAAAACTTTTTCCTTGAGTACTGATTACTTATAAAATTCTAAGAAGCTGGGGGACCAGCAGTTAGCGTAATGGCTATGTCGCTGGACTCCCACGTAGTCGACAACGGTTCGCGTCCCGGACCTGGTGGCTTAAAACTCACGCCGGGCGCGTGTGCCTGCGTGCCCAAGATCCCGAGAGGAGAATGGAGAAGAAGGGATTGCAGCGTGACCATCCCCCCGGGGTGTGATTTCTCACTTTCTGTCTCTATGTCTCTCTCTCTCTATCTGTGTGGCAAGCGCACAAAACCTCTCAAAAAAAAATTCTAAGAAGCTGGCAAAAATTATCATTTATGGGTTGGGGAAAAAAATTCTAGCTAAACTACTTCTATAAATTTTTTTTTCTATTTAAAATAAAAATCATTCCAAAGGTCTCAAAATTTTCCAGGATCAGCTTTAGGATTAAAATTGGTATTCTGAAAATTCATCATTTTTTTAAAAAAAGTGGAAAACTGTAAGACATTTTGGCAGACTTGAATTCCCTATAAGCTTTTATAACTATTTAGAAAATTATTTGGAAAGCTTATGTAGAAATTCATCTTTTATGCTTAAAAAAATGCTCAAAATATTTAATCAGCACGAATTCTCTTTTTTAAATTTATTTTGGAAATGCTCCAAAACACAGTGTCTAAGGCATTCATGAGGACAAAACATTTAGTTTTCTGCTTATAGTTTCACATATTTTGTTTGCTTAGGAGAGCTGTTGATTATTCCTACTCAAAGGAAATGTATTTCCCTGCCCAATTAAAACATTTCAGCAATTTTGTGATATCACTTAGACAGTACAATGGATTGTATCGTGAACTTTTACTACTAGGAAAAAGCCCATGGACCATCTAGTGAAAAGTGAGCTTAGAGGTCAAATGAAAAAACTAGTGGCAGAGCTGTGTCTACAGAGGATGACTCGATCATCCCGGGATACGTCGAGTGCTGGTCCTTGACCGGCAACATCAGAAAACCGGAATAACTTAAAAAAAAAAAAAAAAAAAAGAGAGAGAGAAAAACAACTGAAACAAACAAACAAACAAGAAACAACTAGATGCACTGAATCTAAATCTTTAGGGGAGACAGACTGGGAATCAGGATTTTTTTAAAAAGTTCCTTAGGTGGTTCTTCTGTAAATTCAGGTTTGAAAACACTTCCTATCCACTACATTCCAGATATACCCCTCCCCTTTTACTTTAAGAAAAGCTAGAGTTCCTCCTTTCATCTTTTCAATTGTTCATATCAAAGTCCTTGGAGGTATCCTTGACTTCTCCACTCACATCCCATATCCCGGAGCTGGGTGGCAGCACAATGGTGATGTAACAGACCCATAGGGGAGGGGTCCTGGGATCTCCCTGGGCATGTGTGGAAAGGCTCCACAACACACAGCCCAAGGCCTTCATGAGAGAGGAAGTAAGTTTTCTTCTTACCGTGACCCGCGAAAACAGAAAACCGGAATAACTTAAAAAAAAAAAAAAAAAAAAGAGAGAGAGAAAAACAACTGAAACAAACAAACAAACAAGAAACAACTAGATGCACTGAATCTAAATCTTTAGGGGAGACAGACTGGGAATCAGGATTTTTTTAAAAAGTTCCTTAGGTGGTTCTTCTGTAAATTCAGGTTTGAAAACACTTCCTATCCACTACATTCCAGATATACCCCTCCCCTTTTACTTTAAGAAAAGCTAGAGTTCCTCCTTTCATCTTTTCAATTGTTCATATCAAAGTCCTTGGAGGTATCCTTGACTTCTCCACTCACATCCCATATCCCGGAGCTGGGTGGCAGCACAATGGTGATGTAACAGACCCATAGGGGAGGGGTCCTGGGATCTCCCTGGGCATGTGTGGAAAGGCTCCACAACACACAGCCCAAGGCCTTCATGAGAGAGGAAGTAAGTTTTCTTCTTACCGTCTTAGACAGTTTATGTGCTTAGGCGAGTTGTTGATTATTCCTTAGTCAAAAAAAAAATGTATTTCTCTGCCCAACTGAAACAATTTCAGCAACTTTGTGATATGATTCAGACAATACAATGGATAGAATCATGAAATTTTACTACTGGAAAAAAGCCTGTGACCATCTAGTAACAAGTGAGTTCAGCTGAAACTAGGGTGGACCACAGCATCAGGATCTGGGCATGCTTCTCCCCTCTCTCTCTCCCTTTTCTCTCCCTCTCTATCTCATGGAAGAAATAAATTAACTTTAAAAATAGAAATACTTTATATCCAATCAAGAAAACCTCTTGGCTCTGCCTTCAAAATGTATTTATAATCTTGTCTTTATCATCTTTCCATTGCTATGACTCCAGGGTATATCACCATCATCTCACACAGGATCACAATAAGACTCTCTACTCTTTTCTCCTCCTTTTGTCGATTCTCAATATAGCAGCCAAAGTGATAACTTTTCAACCCAAAGTTACATCTTGCCACTACTCTCCCCGCAATCCTCGATGGCTTCTTCTTCCACTGAAGATATAAACCCTAACTTTCTCTATAAGGCCCAATACATGAACCTCTTTCCTCTCTGATCGCGTCTCCTACTAATCCTCCCCTGGCCACACTAGTCTTCTTGGGTATTCCTGGATATGCTAGTCATACTCCTGCTTCAAGGCCTCTGCATTTTCTGGTCCCTCTGCTATTAAAACTCTTTCCCCAGATATGAACACGGTTAATTCAATCAATCAGCTTCTTTAAGTCTTTATGAATGTTATTTTCTCAATGAGGCCTTTCTGAACCATTCCACTTAAAATTACAGCCCATATTCTCTGTCTCTCAGCATTCCAGAGGTCTTCTACCCTGCTCTGTTTTTCTCTTTTTTTCTTTAAGCACTTTTCATCTTCAGATTTACTACCTAATTTATTTACTTGTTATTTACTATTTATTTTTGCCTCCCCTTATTAGAATGTCAGCTTCTTGAGGACAGGAATCTTTGTGAATTTTATTAACTGACAAGTCAAGGACCTAGAATAGTGCTTGGCACATAGGTAATCAATACATAATTGGTGAATGAATGGAGAGTGAGGCTAAACAAAAGATTTGACACTCTTCATCCATTCCAGCTAGCCACAGCAGTATCCACTCCCCAATCAGAAACCAGAATCCTATGATGCCAATCTCTTTGGTAGTTACTTCTGTCCACCAGCTCTCTTAGTGTAGTGATATCTCGCAAAAGAACAGCCCAGTGAAAACTTTTGAGTTCCTTTTTTTATATTTAACTCAAAGTTACTGAAAAATAAAGTTACAGCCAAACTTCCTTAATGTAAAATAGAGAAACTCTAAACACTGCTCAAAATATCAGAGACAATTCTGTTTTTAATTAATACAGTGACCTGGTGCTTGGCAGTTAAAGACATCTGGAGCAAAAAAGCATCTTCCTGTTTCTTCAGCAATCAAGGCATAGTCCACCTGGCTGAGACCGCTTACAGCTGGCAAAAACAAGTTCCACAGGTCCTCTGCTTTGGCCATTTCCTGTCAAGGTGATGAACATGCCAGAATGATCAAAGTTTACCATGATCTAACATCCCTTATTTTTTAAAGATAGTGGCATTTATGCTTTTTGAAATTTAAAAAATTTATGGAGTTATTTATTTTACTATATCCTATAGTGTTGCAAAATGAGGTGGCTACTAATTCATTCTAAATCAAGTTTCTTAACTGTTAAAGAAATGCCTTTGCTTGTAAGCTTTTTTATATATGGCTGAAAACTAAATGTGCTTATTTACAAGTCCTTACTGAAGTAGAACATTACAAAATCTCCCACATTAGAGTATATTTATGTCAAATATATTATTTCAGGCATTTCAGTGTCTTCCATGGGTTGCTGTTAAGATTTGAAAACATGGGGCCAGTAGGTAGTATGGAGGTGACTGGATCCCACATATGTATCTGAGAGGTTGAAATCCTAGATCCAGTGGCTTGAAAATCATACTGGGTATATGTACATGCTTGTCCAACATCCTGAGAGGAGAATGGAGGAGAAGGGGTTATGCCATGGCCATCCCCTCTGGGGGAGATTCCTCTCTCGTCTCCAATATTTGCCCTATAGTAAACAATAAAGAACAACAAAAAAAGATTTGAAGCCATGAAATCTGGATTCAGCCTAAAGGACAAATGCCTGCCTTGAAGCCAGTCTCAATTTAGTGACAGTGATAATGAGTAGTTTATTTTTGTTTGTTTGGTTGGTTGGTTAGAGAGGGCATGTGCTCTCTCCAAAGACAGAGAGAGATGGAAGGAGAAAGTACACAGCAGTGGGAATGGTCACACTGCAGTCGCTTCTTCTACATCACTCGCTCTTTTCAAGATTTTGGACCCACATGAGCACACACTTGGTATGTTTCTCAAGCTATTAGGTCCAGGACTTGAACTACACAAGTGGCCATGTGGGATCCAGCTGCTTTAACCAACAGGACATGAGGCCAGCCTGATAATGAGAGGGAGGTTGGATCATATATTTTTCTCTGAATAGCTATAAAAGGCTACTACATGTACATAGCATATACAGAACATTATAATTTGCATATTACAGATTCTATTTTTAACTTTCTTTTTAAAAAGTTATTATCGATATAAATATTCTCTACATATATACAAATAACAAGAAGACTAAGGTCTCAAAATATACTTTATATGAATTTTTCAATTTTAAAGGTTTTCTTATTTTTCTTACCTTGAGTTTATCAATCACTAAAGGTTTCCTCCATTTGTCCATGGAATTTTCATTTTGAATATAGAATTCAATTACTTCCTTCAAGTAATAAAAAGAAAAAAAATCATTAGCAGAGTTAATACAAATTAAATAGTGTCCCAAAGTGCTATTATCCAAAGTAAACATGTATACATGAAGAATCTTTTCCAGTTGCTATTGAATCAGTAATAAACCTTTAAAAAATCAGTTACAAAGCATAAAAATTCTAAAGGTTTGCTTGTTATCATTCTAAAATGATATTACCTCAAGAGTAGATAGCACATTAGATTCCCAAAACCTTCTACCAGTATCTGAGTGTTCCATTTCCAGCAGTATGACACGCTAGAAGGTCATGGAAATCCTTAACTAAAACTCGTAGGCAAAAATGTTTTACGGAATTGTAAAACATACAGGTTAAGCCACCATAATCTGAAAATCCAAAATTTGAAATGCTTCAAAACTTTTTAAGCATCAACATAATGGCACAGTGGAAAATTCCATACCTGACCCAAGTGATGGTGTGCAATCAAAATGTTGCAGGGTGAAATATTGCATAAAATTATTTTCCGGTGGGCCAGCCTGTGGTGTGGTGGTTAAGGCAGCTGGATCCCACATGGCCAACTGTACAGTTTGAGTCCTAGACCTGGTGGCTTGAAAAGCACACTAGGCACATGTGTATGCGTGCCCAAATTGAAAGTGGAAGAAGTGGAGAAGGAATTATGGGGTGTCTGTCCCCTATGGCAGATGTGGGAAGGGATATTTTCTCACTTTTCCTTTTTTGGTCTCTCCTGTCAGCACACTTGTCCTCTGGCAAATTACATAAAAATAAAAAATTACCTTCAGACTACGTATATGCAGTGTATATTAAATATAAATGAATTTCATGCTTAGATTTGGGTCCCATCTCCAAGACATTATGTATATGCAAATATTCTAAAACCTGAAAAAAATCTGAAATCCAAAACACTTCTGGGCTCAGTCATTTTGGATAAGAGATACTCAACCTGTATTTATTAATGCATAGCTATGCTGGAAGGAAAATAAAATTCATCAGAGGTGAGGAACAAAAAAGCCCAACTCTTTGGGCCTGAGTAAGCACCAGAGCCACTGGAGTTTGTCCAAGGGATGTAGATTGATCTATGTTATCATAGGTCCTATATTTTTTACTTTATTTTTAAAATTTTGCTCAATAGGATGCATACATGCCGAAGAGAGACAGAGAGAGAAGAAAAATGAGAAAGTATGCCTACCCAAGGGATGGTCACTCTAGTCTCCTCTTGGGATTTTGAGCATGTATGCACATACCTCTGGCATGTTTTTCAAGCTGCCGGGCCTGGGACTGGAACCACACAGTAGGGCCACATAGGATCCAGTCACCTTAATCACCATGCCATCATTCACCTCAAAACCCTGTATTTTAATGGGTCACATAATTTTACCCAAACCAGAATAATTGATTGGTAAAACCCAACTGGGGGGAGGGGCAGCAAAAAAGAAAAATGCCCTCCCCTCAAGGCTAGACCATGGAGACATAGGACTACTTATAGATCTTAATTCTGCATGAAATGGGGGGGGGGCAAAAAAACCATTTCATGGACACACACACACACACACACAAATTTCTAACTTGAAAACCGCCTCTGCCCAACTCTAGGATCTCAATTCATACACCTGTGGGGCCTTAAAACATCAAGTCAAAAAGTAAGTTTATATTTTACTGGTGAGAACCCCTTGTAGGCACCTGGCAGATGTAAAAACAAATCCTCTCTGGAGGAAAGAGCTTCAGACAAAAGCCTTAAATAACTGCCTCAAGATAAAATTCCATTCCAGAGAACACAGGTTCAGCATGAAACTTTACTAATCACTCAGGGAAACAGGTTCACTATTCATTAGAATAAGTAAGACTAATAATTCAACAAAATCAAAGCATACTTTCCAGACTGAAAGGTAATGATTAGACACAGACACAATTATGTGTGTTCAGTAGATTTCAAGAATACAGAAAAGAATTAGAAGAATGACAAAAGACTATAAAAACTGACCAAGTAGGGGACCAGCAAGTGGTGTGATGGTTAAGGTGGTGTACACTCCCTCATGGCCAACCATGGTTTGAGACCCAAACCTGGTGGCTTGCTTTCTCACTTCCCTTCTAGATCTCTCTCTCTCTCTCTCTCTCCCTGTCTCTCTCTGGTCAAATTAAAATAAGTGAAAGAATAAATAAAATCAAATAATTATTTAAAAAGTTGACAAAGCAAATTTGAAAGTAACTGAGCGGATGGTAGTGAATGGGTGGTAGAGGGTGGGTGTGAGGAGCAAAAGGAAGGAACATTTTACAGACCAAAAAATGTAAAGTTCTTGGTTAAAAAAATTCATATTGTATACATCATGATGATCTTTCTGTAAAATGTGCAATTTATCTGGGAACAAAAAGAGTAATTGTTCTTCCTCCCTGTGTGCCACTTCTGTTATTATTTTGTTAAGCTATGCATCTGCCTCTAAAAAGAAAGTAAAGAAATTAAACATAGTAATTAGACTTAAAAATTCTATGGCAGTGGTTCTCAAACTGCAGTGGATATCAGAATCATCCTGGGAAGTTGGTAAAAACACAGGGGCCTCAGCCTTATCCTGCTTCAATGAGCCTGGGCTTCTGTGCTCCTTACTGACTCTGCAGGCAATTCTGACACATTCCAAAATTTAAGAACTGCTATGCCATGGATGGCTGAAAAGTGTATTAGATGAAGCTGGAAAAAAATAAAATAAAACAAAACAACTATTTATATAAGAAAGAGCTAAAGAAATTACTCAGGATGAAGCACAGCAATTCAAGACAAGAAAAATATGAGTGCTTGAGGAATATGACAGATGTGCAGAGAAGTTCTAATAGAAGTCTAAGTGAAGCTCTAAATGAGGAGAGAGAGGAGAGTGGCAAAAAATTATTTTAAGAAGTTCATGGAACTAACAAAAGACATAAAACTTCAAATTCAGAAAGCATAATGAAGCCAGAGTACAGTAAAACTGCTGAACATCAAAAAGAAAGAAACGTTCTTACATGGACAAAACGGAGGGAAGAAAAGAAAGATTACCGATAATGAAACAATGAAGATTATGAGCTGACTTCCTACGGCAACAAATCATAAGCCAGAAATCAGAGGGGTAATATCTACAATTACTGAGAGAAAATAACTGTCAACTTATATAACCAACAAGACTGACTCTAAAAACTTAGGGGAGGGACCAGTAGTTGACGTAATGGCTATGTTGCTGGACTTTCATGTAGCCAACCACGGTTCAAGTCCAGGACCTGGTGGCTTAAACTCACACCGGGCGTGTGTGCGTGCGTGCATGCGTGCGTGCGTGCCCAAGATCCCGAGAGGAGAATGGAGGAGAAGGGATTTCGGCATGGCCATCCCCTCTCAGGGGTGATTTCTCACTTTCTATCTCTCTGTCTCTCTCTGTCTTTCTGGTGAGCACACACATGCTACAGGAAAACCTCTCAAAAAAAAAAAAAACTTAGGAGAAAATAAATGTATTACCTATATCTATATACGTATTATATGTAAAGCCATCAAAACTCCCTCCCTGATGGAGAGGGGGGAGGAAGGAAAATAAAAAAGAAAGAAAGAAAGAAATGTTAATTAACATATTTTTACTAAAGAAACTTGATCCTAAGAAACTTCTAAATTGCAAGAAGAAATAGTAACTAGTGATAAATACATGCTTAACTCTGTATGAAAACTAGCCACATGACAATAATAACCTCTATTTTGTACACAATGATCAAGACAGTACTAAAAATACCAGACTATAATGGCATTCTCCAATATTTTGCTATTATAGCATTTCTTTCTTTTTTCAGAGAGAGAAATGTTTGCTATAGGTTGTGTGTGCTTCCAGAGAGACAGAGAGAGATGAGAGACAGAAAGTAAGAGATTACCCCCACAGGGTGGATGGCCATGCCACAATCCCTTCTGCTCTCTCTTGGGATTTTGGGCATGCATGCACACATACCTGGTGTGAGCCTCAAGCTGCCCAGTCTGAGACTTGAACTGCAGTCGACCATGTGGGAGTCTAGTGCCCTAATCACCATGCCACCTGATAGCCCCAATTATAGCATTTTCTTAACCTACTATTTTTCAACACTTGGGCTACTAGAATTACTGGGTTAAATCAAAACTCTTAATCAATATTACCAAATTATTCAAAACTGTTCTATCAATTTCTACTCAAAGAAGTAATACACATATCATCCCGTTCATTAAAGCATGGCTGGAATACTGCTGTATTTAGTGAAAACTTCAAAAAAGGCAAAGATCTGCTTTTTCAAAAGTTCGTTAGAATAATTTAAATGAAATTTCTCACAGAAAATTTGAAAAATAAGGAGACAGCAGTGGTGTGGGAGTTTAAATAGCTTCATCCAACATACCCCACTGTGCAGACTGAGTCAGAGATACACTGAGCTTAAGAAACCTGCTGGGCAAGTGTGCGTGCATGCCCAAAATCCTGAAAAGAGAATGGACGAGAAGGGATTGTGACATGACCATTCCCCATAGTGGTGGTGGGGGTGCTTTCTCTCTATCTCTCTCTCTTCCCCACCCCCCTCCGGCAGCAAGTATGTTCATTCTCTAGTAAATTGTGGGGGTAGGGAGATTCGGAAAATATGTAAGGACTAGCCTTTGGCATGGTGGTTAAGGTGGCTGCATACCACATGCTGACCATGTAGTTTGAGTCCTGGACTCGGTAGCTTGAAAAACACTCTGGGCATGTGTGCATGTGTGCCTAAAATCCCCAAAGGAGGGAGAAACGGAGAAAGGATTGTGGCATGACCATTCCCCATGGAGAAGGGAGAAGTGTTTTCTCACTTTCTCTTTCTGTCTCTCCCCATTTAGCATGCATGCCCTCTTGCAAAATTTAAAAACAAATATGTAAAACTACAAAGAAGTCATCAAGTATCTTATTATAGTAGCTAAAAGACATGTACTCTTAAAGTACCAGTATCAATGTATTATATGATACAATCTTATTTTTTAGAAATGATAGTTTGGGTTTCTGTAAACTAGTTA